CGCTGCTACGCTAACAGTTCTCCTGGATTGAGCTCTTGTTTATGGGGCACCTGAACTTTGGAAGGAAAAATTCAATAAATAAATATGCCAGCAGGTCCCACTGTATTGGTGCTTGGTAGAAATGATAATGCGTTCCAAGTTCTCCTGTTTTCAGTAGCTGTGTGGAATATAATCAAACACCAACAAATTAACAATAGTCTGTAATACTTAGAAACTCACTATTACCACTCGCAAGCAGATAAGGCAGTTGTTACATGATAGATTATTTAAACCATAAAATTAAGTAACATCTTTTTAAACAGAGATAGTTAATTTACTTCCAGGACTTTAAAAGATTTTAGTTCTAATATTAATCTACTTCAAATGAATCATCCAATATATCAAAAATAGAAAAAAAAAAAAATCTGCTTCCAATTCTGTGAATTACTGAGAGAGAAGCAGCAGACAAAACAGGTCTTCAGACAACAATAAACCACAGCAGCAATCTTCCAAAGGAACACACAGGTTGTGTATCACACAGGTTGTGTATCACACAGGTTGAGGTTGTGTATCACACAGGTTGTGTATCAAGGCTCCTGAATAGAATCATAGAATCCCAGACTGGTTTGGGTTGGGAGGGACCTGAAAGCTCATCCAGTTCCAACCCCCCTGCCAGCAGCAGGGACACCTTCCACTAGACCAGGTTGCTCAAAGCCTCATCCAACCTGGCCGCCAACACTTCCAGGGAGGAGCAGCCACAGCTTCTCTGGCCAACCTGGGACACTGTCTCACCACCCTCACACCAAACAATTTCTTCCTAATATCTCATCTAAACCTCTCCTCTTCCAGTACACATGGAAACTTTCACATTTCCCTTTGCAGCCCTGACTACTTCTTCAGCATCCTGTCACGATTTATCTGCAGTGGATACTGATGTTATAGATCACATATAAGAAACACACTTACAGTCCATGCACACACAACCTCTCTGCCTCAGCTGTGCTAGAGATGATGAAACAAACCTCTGAAAATCCAAATTAATCCCCTGTGCTGAGTAGGAACACACTCCACGCAGCTGGGGGAAAATACAGTCCTTTGCAAGACACAGCATGTGGCAGTGAGAGTGGAACTATTAGGATATAACCCTGAGAAGGTGCCACCATAGCTCTGCTGACAATTTAAACTGGATCTTTGGTCAAATGTGCAGACAGGGGAGCAGCCAAAGAAGTTTAACATTTAAATGTCATTTAGACAAGCAGATCAAAGTGGTTGTATGTTGAAGAGTGGAAGAACCACTTCTGTGACAGTATTTTGTAAGCTTTAGTCAGTTCTGAGAAATGAGCAGTTCTTGCATGCCCCAGATGCAATCTTACTGCTCCAGGCAGTACAGGAGAAACCACAGCCCAGGACCACGCTGCCCTGTTGTCCTCATACCAGGGAATGAGGAGGTTCTGAGTACACACAGCTTCTGAAGATTTCATCGCCCAGCAGAGCTCCAAAATCATTCTGCTAAAGGGCATGTGAACCTGCAAAGTGCACAAGGGGCCAGAACACGGGCCCACCTTGGGAGAGAAGTGCAGTCCAAACCCACACAGTGTAACTTAGTCTGCAGAAGATCATAGAATCACATAACGGTTTGGGTTGGAAAGGACCTTAAAGCCCATCCAGTTCCAACCCCCCTGCCAGCAGCAGGGACACCTTCCACTAGACCACGTTGCTCAAAGCCTCATCCAACCTGGCCTTCAACACTTCCAGGGAGGAGCAGCCACAGCTTCTCTGGCCAACCTGGGACACTGTCTCACCACCCTCACACCAAACAATTTCTTCCTCACATCTCAGCTCCATCTCCCCTCTGCCACTTTCAAGCCATCACCCCTTGTTCTCTCACTCCCTGCCCTTGGCCAAAGTCCCTCCCCACCCTTCCTGGAGCCCCTTCAGGTACTGGGAGGCCACTAGAAGGTCTCCCCGGAGCCTTCTCTTCTCCAGGCTGAACAGCCCCAACTCTCTCAGCCTGTCCTCATAAGAAAATAGATAAGAAAAAGGTAAGAAAAGATGGACAGTTTGTATGTTTAAGCAAGGTATTAAAAGTTCAAGACTTTAGATTCTAGTTCTCTGCTCTGCAAGTAACAGTTAAATCTACAAACTGCAGTATCTCCACCAGACTGAAAAGGCTGCTCTTGTCTCCTGTTAGTGAGAACAGGCAGTAGATTCTCAGCAAAGACAAAGATACGAGTAATCCATGAAGGTGGCCAAAGGTGAGAGAACTGGTCTCAATACCAGAATAACAAAAACTGTTTCACAGGTGCACTGGCAAATTGATATATTGCTCCCTGAAGATTTCAGGTCTTTAACACTTCCCTCCTCTCACAGACATGATCCAGGATATTTTTATTACAGTGTATTGTGAGTAAAGGACACACTTCCCATTCTAACCTCTATGCCAAGTCTCAGCAGAATGTAAAGTGGCCTATTCAAACCCCAAAGATTAGATTTGTCTGACTGCCTTTTCATTCATTTCCCTTCTGAAAGTTCATAGGACACTACTGTTTATTTACTGTAACGAGTTTATCGAGTAAAACATCGTTAGTGATGTAAGCACCTGACAAAGAAAAAGAAAGGAGGGCAGCAAGAGGCCAAATAAATAGAGTGTGATCAGAAACAGAACTAGTTAATTGAAATCAGGAAGGCAATTCAGTAAAAGCAAAGAGCTTCTTGCCTCCCGTGGAGAAGAGACAGGCAATGCCCGTCTAGATACCAGGGAAAGCTTCGTTGACTGCTGTGCTTGTTGCAGTCGTTTTGCATTTAGAGATGTTACAAACCCTTCCAATTGACACGGGATTAAAATATCCAGTGTCTGCACTTTCAGTACACAGAGGTAGGAAAGCTGCAAATCAGGATGAAAGGAAACATTGAAGAGGTTTTGCCAGCAGCCTGATTCACAGTAGGTAGTGCCCTACACCATAAATTAGTGCTAAGGAAATGAATGGGGCTGTTTGTGAAACAGAAGAGCTTTGGATCTTGCTCCTTTGCAAGTGATGTAAGACATTAAGAAACAGTCCTTTGCTAGCCAGGAGATTTACTGACTGCTCCTAGTCCAGAGTCAAGCTGGAAAACTCCGGTGGAAACTGGCTTGATAGTTATTTAATCACAGAACACCTCACAGAGCTCTTCCTGTATGAGTGAAAATGATCACCACGGCCTTTATTTTATAGAAACATGGTTTTGGAGCAGCCTTCCCTCAGCAAAGATACATAAGATAGCTCAGAAAGAATCACAGACTGGTCTGGGTTGGAAGGGACCTTAAAGATCATCCAGTTCCAACCCCCCTGCCATCAGCAGGGACATCTTCCACTAGACCAGGTTGCTCAAAGCCTCATCCAACCTGGCCACGAACACTTCCAGGGAGGAGCAGCCACAGCTTTTCTGGGCCAGTGTTCCTGATCCACCTACCCATCCTGAAAGGAGCCCAAGAATTTACGTTCATAACAACATCACACCTCAAATAACCTTTTACACACGTTCAATGACTGAAAAATCCCATTTCCAAGCTCAAATGAACCTCATAACACTATAAAGCCTTACCAGCAGAAGAAAGCAAACCCAACCCATTGCTCCCAAAAACTCTGTTCTTACCAAGTTTCACACTTTGCACGCGGCCTCCGATTCGGTCGGTGGCTTCAAGGACAGTTACATCCGTGAATCCGCTTTCCAAGAGCGCTTTAGCTGCTGACAGGCCGGCAAGCCCAGCACCGATAACCACTATTCGAGGCTGTCGTCTTCTCCGTAGGCCACTACTAAGAGGATCATCCGTGCTGTCTGCAGATATTTCACAACTTTGCATGCCGTCCAAGCTCTCTTTCTAAGGAACCTATGGAAAAAAAAAAAAGCAAACAAGCGTGTTGAGGGATCTCAGCTCCAAGTTATCCTCTGCAGATAAAAAATCCTAAGGAAGGCTACAAAAATTTTTTACAAGTTGAGCAGAAAAGAAAGAAAACTTGTAAACTACACCCAGCCTTCAAAATGGGATGCGTAGGAAGGATAACTGAGGTCAAGTTGGGATGCAATAACTTTTTGGCCTGGAGTACTCCAGAAATTTCCACCCTCTTGTACCCTGTAGACTATTTCCAGAGAAGTCAAAGGATTTTCAAACTCTCATCTCTTTATAGATCCTCCAAAAGTGGCAATTTTGTGGTCAAGACTTTAAAAAGAAAAAGAAAACCACAAGTCCAGTGCCGACAAGCTCCACAACACAGCGATGAAGCTTCACTCTGCCTCTGTGGCAACCACAAAACATAAGCTTTAGATCATATCACTACGGGACGAGGTAAAGAGGATTTAGCTTCAAGCGTGGTGATCCAATCTCAAACCCATCATTACAGAAATGGTACAGACAGAAAAATGTTTCAACTGATGAAAGCCAGCAAGGGCCTGTTGAAGAATTCACAGCCACATGATGTAGCCCCTGGAGCCAACACTGTCCTGCCACATCAGGATAAGCTTTAGATCATATCACTACGGGACGAGGTAAAGAGGATTTAGCTTCAAGCGTGGTGATCCAATCTCAAACCCATCATTACAGAAATGGTACAGACAGAAAAATGTTTCAACTGATGAAAGCCAGCAAGGGCCTGTTGAAGAATTCACAGCCACATGATGTAGCCCCTGGAGCCAACACTGTCCTGCCACATCAGGATCAGAGGATCAGCCTCAGCCTTTGATGAAGAGAGGTTCAAACCCACACCAGTCCTGACTGGTCTGTTTCTACCTCTACCTACCCAAGGCATCCAACTGCTCCTCCAAGCAGCATCCTCTTTTTCTTTGCAAACTCCTAGAAGACATCTTTTTAACTGTGTACACCCTTAGGTTCTCAGGTCCCACTACCTTATTTTAGTACACGGCTTGGGTTCATGGTTAAGGTTAAACCTTAATCAGGGATCACCAGTGTAGGATGCCTTTATACACGAATGTCCACCTCTAGTCATCTGGTTCTGGGTAGGTTCACACCTGCCCTCAAGAGCACAAAGGAACAAGGTACAGAGACCCTTAGAGAGATGATGAGGGGCCTGGAGCACCTGCCTGACGAGGAGAGGCTGAGAAAGCTGGGACTGTTCAGCCTGGAGAAAAGCAGCCTGAGAGGGGATCTGATCAATGTCTATAAATATCTGAAGTGTGGGGGCCAAATGGATGGGGCCGGGCTGTTCTCGGTGGTGCCCAGTGACAGGACAAGGGACAATGGGCACAAACTGGAACACCAGAAGTTCCAGACAAACTTAAGGAAAAACTTCTTTCCTGTGAGGGTGTTGGAGCCCTGGGACAGGCTGCCCAGAGAGGGTGTGGAGTCTCCTTCTCTGGAGATGTTAAAACCCACCTGGACACTTTCCTGTGCAGTTTAGGGAACCTGCTTTGGCAGGGGGGTTGGACTGGATGATCTCCTGAGGTCCTTTCCAACCCCACCATTCTGTGATTCTGTGACACCCATACTCCACCAGGCCCAAAAAGACATCAGTCCTGACTTCAGAAGGATAAACACACAGCCCAGGATTCATCAGCCCTTGAACCAGCTGGTGCCCAGTGATTTGGACAAAGCACACACATGGTTCCCTCCCTGCCCAATGCCTACTGAACGCAGCGAAATCCAAGGAGCTAGTAAGCTGCCTCTACCTGTTACCAAGCTGCTGGATACTCCTTCTGAGCTCTTCCCTAATTCTTCCAACACTCAACCAGAGTCTCCAGACTCCAGTTTCTCTCCTGCATCACCAGAAGACTCAAACCTTTACACTTAAGACATGGCTGAACTATTGCAGTACATGATCATGTGCACCAGTAAAGTCCAAAGCAATAGTGGTTTCATTTGGAGAGTCCCTTTTTCTCCAGGATCTTGAAGCATTTATGTACGTTGACCAAGCATCTCCTGCTCTCTGTAACACAGGTGACACCAGATCACAGTCAGCAGTGATTTAAACAGTGGTATAAAAAGTTAAGTGGTTCTACCAGGGCTCTTGACAACTATTTTGAAGTGTTTAGTTTCAACTGGAACAACTTCAGCTCAATCACAGAATCATCATAGAATCATAGAATGGTTTGGGTTGGAAGGGACCTTAAAGATCATCCAGTTCCAACCCCCCTGCCAGCAGCAGGGACACCTTCCACTAGACCAGGTTGCTCAAAGCCTCATCCAACCTGGCCTTGAACACCCTCTCTGGGCTCACCTGCAAGAGCAATTAGCACAGTGTCTCTAAGGAACACTGCTTCTGCCAACACAGCTTGTTCCAACAGTCACCAGACAACGGAACAGATGACACTGAGCCAGCCCTGGCTGCAGCCATGCTAAAAACTTCTACCTGTGATGACATCAATCATCTCACTGTTTTCATATCCTGACCAACAGATCTCAGCTAGCAGATATTTGTCACAGGGAGACAGACACTGGTGTTGGGAGAGTTATTTCCAAGCTGAAGTCAAACATGTCAAGCATCCAATGCTTTCTAGTCCATGGTGAGTCATGCATCATGGTCATTTGACAAGCGGAAAAGCTGTGAGCAGCCAAAACCAGACCCTGGATTTATTTCTGAGCAAGCTGGATTCAAAAACAGTCCAACAGTTTGAAGAAGTAGCAATGAGTGATTTCTTCCCTGTTCCACAAGAAACAGTAAAGATCTGGAACAGGCAGAGGGAAGGAGGATGCAAAGCTTCTTCCCTACAGCAGCTGGTGAGAAGTTTCCCATTGTAGACACCTTAGGACTTTACTTGGCCTTGATGCTGACTTATTCCCTCTTGTGGACTTTCCTCATCTGGGACAGAAGTGTTTTGGGGGTTTTTTTGCTGTTTGGGTTTTTTTTTTTTATCTTAATCCACTCTGGAAGTGGATTTTCAGAATGGGTGAAGATAAGCAGGAACATGGCACTCCAGGTATGGGGGGACTCCCTCAGGCATTAGTTGGGAACTGCTCCATAACAGGTAGGTTAAATCCTCCCCAGTCAGAGGCTGATAGGAAGGATTTAAGACAAGACAAGACCACTCCTCAACAGACGGACCTTAAAGACCACCACAAACAGAGATGAGGGACACCATTCTGGTTTAAAAAAAAACCAAAAACCAAAAAAACAACAACAAAAAAAACCACCCCAAACACTTTTCTCTATTTACCAGTGCAGGACAATGGGAAGGAGCTGGACTTCATAATCATAGAATGGTTTGGGTTGGAAGGGACCTTAAAGACCATCCAGTTCCAACCCCCCAAAGAAATGTTTTCCCACCATCTTCTCTTTGAGGCTGAGTGAGGCCACTGCATTTCTTGGACATTGTCAATCACTGGTCCTTCACTTCCCCTCCCAAACATGCCAATTTATTGACTTTTAATCTAATAGAATAAGAAATTATGTTCCTGCTCTGGCAGGGGGATTGGACTAGATGATCTTTCAGGGTCCCTTCCAATCCCTGACATTCTGTGATTCTGTGTGATTCTGTGAAATGAAATTTCTCCAGGTTCTTTTAGGACCTTTAATATGAGCCCTGAACACTGGGATCTCTGCATTCAGAGCTTCAGAGTAGTCCACCGCTGGGACAGGAAGGGCAAAGCAGTACAGTTATTAAAAGGTACTTTAGAACCACCACAGCAAGTCCTGTTGAAGAGCCTGGGGTTGGTAGGAAGAGGAATGACCCTCTTCTGGGAGTACCCAGCTGCCAGCAGTAAGTTCAATAAGGACACCGTAGGGGAGAGTGAATGTCTGGGCATAACCACCCCAGGGACTTCTCCTTCTTGCATTTATCAACTTCTTTTTGAATCCCCTCTATACTTCTGGCCTTCACAACAATTTTGTGGTGAGGAGCTCCACAGTCTATTAACCTTATACAAATATTAATGCCCTTTTGGTGGTTTCCCTGTTATATTCCCTGGACACATTCTCCTCAGCGCTAAGGACCTTCATATATGATCCCAGTCATCTCTTCTTCAAGAAGAAATAAATCTTAATCTGGCTAGTCCTTCCTCATTTGTGAGCTATTATAAACCCACAGCTGAAATAACTCTTACTAGAAATGCCTTCAGGATTTATTACAACCCATTCTACAACACTCTCCACTTCCCATCCAGTCAATGAGTGTATTTTAATTGCCACAGAAAAGAAATATCTCTTCTGCCATCGACATCCTATAGACACTGAACTGATTCAGTTCAGTTTTGTAAGTACAGCTTTCCTAATCCTGGCTTTGGCAAACTCATGTGAATTCTTCACATGAAAGCTTCAAGACAACATTTTCCCTTCCTGTTTCAGCACTTTAATGTTGGATTAGGTGACCTGTCTAGACAGATGAGAAAATAACAGTGTATTTTGTGCCTACAGAACCCTGATTTAGAAACCACCCTTAATTAGCCAACAACCTTTACTGTATGATTGGCAAGGGAAGGTCATTAAAATTTTGCAAGAGCTTGGGTTTTCCAAGCAGGATACGTGCTCCATCGTGAAACAAACAGACAATATAAATATATGAATCCCCACTACACTTTGTTTCAGTATCAATTATACATCCCTTTAGGCTCCTCAGTAAGACAAGCACATAAAACACAGTTTAGTATGTGTAACACTCGACCTTCAGTACTTGCCAAGCCACCAGTGAATATTACAAGGTTCTCTGACACAAAGATAGTTTGGCTTTGACTTTTTCTTGATTGCCAAAAAGGGTTGTTTCTTTTTTTTCTTTTTTCTTTTCTTTTTTTTCTTTAAATCACAGGGTAAGAAGTGTGTTAGCTGTTGTACTGTGAATATCTCTGAGGCTGTAATTTTACTTTGTGTCCATGTAAGAGCACGGTTACTACTAAATCACAGCTTCACTAAAAGTAAAAGTCCTCCTGCTTTGTCTTTTTGTCTTTC